GCCTGAACTGCACAGCGAGACCCTGTCTCAAAAAAAAAAAAAAAAAAAAAAAAAAAAGAATCCATCTCAAGTTAAAAGCTAGTATTGTAGCTACAGATACAATATTGGAAACATACTGAGGTGAAATGAAAAGAAAGATTGTCAAAGGGAAAATCCGTAGGGTTTTTAATTTTTGTTTTCTCTTTAATTGTTGTTGGGGGCAGCTGCTTTTTTGTTTGGGGTTTTTTTATTTTTTCTTGTGCTGGGGATTGAGCCCAGGCCCTCCGACGCCCCACGGCCTGTCCCTGGGCTACAGCCCAGGCCCGGGACAGCATCTTGAAGGGTCGTGTCCCGGCTCCGTCCTGTGAGCATCCTGACCCCAGCTCGTATTCCGTAACTTTTGCAGCCAGTAGGACTTCAGATGTCCTTACGCCCTCAGGACAGATTGGATTCTGTACTCTCTTCCTAAGGCTTAGAAAACAATTTCCCAGCCACGGCTGTGACGGCTTCTGCGGCATCTGACCCGCCAGCTCGCTGTTCGTGCCTGAGGTCCTGAGTGGGCACGGTTGCCACGGTGCCTCCACCCCTGGAACACACAGCTCTTTTTGGGGCGATCGCTTTGTGAGGCATTTTCAGAAGAAGTTTCCCAGAAACCTCTGCGGCCAGGCCTGGGCCTCTCGCCTGGCTCCTGGGGGTGAGCGCCGGAGCGCTCCGTTCCGCAGCACGCCTCAGCTGACCTGCTGGGGATGCCCTGGCGCTGGCACAGGCTGGGCCAGCTGGACACTGCCGAACAGACCCCCTTTGTGCAGTGGAATCGGGGAAACAGCCCATTGGAGTTTCCTAACTTGGGCAGTGTGTCTTTTTATCCTAGCCATTAATAATTAAGATTTGTATCTTTGTAAATGGGGACTGGGGCCGGGGCCATCTGTGGCCACCTGCACCTGTCACGTGGCCCACTGCGCTTGTGAATGGCTCCTGCAGGACGCTGAGGCTCCGGGAGCCGGACAGCGCCCTCCATCGGTCCAGCGGGGAAGTGCCCGCCCAGCCTCTGCAGGTGACCCACATCTCCCAGCAGGGACTCCCCCCCCGCCGTGCAGAAGCCAGCCAAGCTTGTGTTTGCTGTGCAACCCACAGATGCAAGGTGCACAGGGCCACAGGCCTGTAACCCCAGCACTCTAGGAGGCTGAAGCAGGAGGATGGAAAGTTTGAACCTAGCCCAGGCAACTTATTATTATTATTTTTTTTTGGTACCAGGAGTCAAACTCATGACCTCAGGCTTGCCAGGCAAGCGCTTATGCCGCTGAGCTACATCCCTGGCCCTGGCAACTTAAAACATAACAAGATCATGTCTCAAAAAAATTTTAAGACGGTTAGGGTGTAGCTCAGTCCCCAGGGGCACAGTAAAAGAGGGCAATGAAGGAGTGGAGGGTTTCTGCTCACGAATTTTCCTCGTGACTTTCTCTGGTGAGTACAGACAAGGCAGGGACATTCCCCAGAAAGAGAGCGCCTGAGCTCTGGGGCACAGCTCAGCGGCAGAGTGAGTGCCCACTCCCGGGGTCCCCAGCACACATGGGTGTGGGTGTGGGAAGAGGCTCCTTGCACCTCGTCCTGCCCTTTGGGACACGGAAGCGCTCCTGGGGGTGAATGTCTTGCCTCTTTTCCCGGCCTTGCGCCCGGATGCGGAGCAGGTGGAAGGTGAGCCGGAGCCTTGGCTCCCCAGTGAGTCGCCCAGCGCCTGCCGCAGGGACTGTCGGAGCTGCACCCCGTACGCTGCAGTGTTGGTGGTTACGGTTGGTGGTTTCCGGAAGAGCGCTGGGGCGTCAGTGACTCTGAGTGCTTTTTGCCTGACGGTGCAGGCCTGTGAGCCGCTGAGCTAGCAGGACTCCCGGAGGGGGCACAAGCTGCGTGTCAAGCAACGCCAGCCTGCTGCCCACGGACAGAAAGAGTGAGGTGTGCGCCCACAGGCGTGAATGGAGGCTGCTGGGTCCCCTCCCTGAGGCGGTGCAGCTGGAGCCAGGGCCTGGTGGCTATGGGCAAGGGACTCAGCTTCTGTAGCCTTACGTTCTTCTCTCTCCAAAGGGACGCCGGGGACCGTCCCAGGGGCTGCTGGGAGCGGCCCAGGAGTCAGCGTCCGCACACACTCTAGAACCCTTGAGTCCAGATTGTGCAAACTGAGTGTTAAGGTTCTCTCCTCACCAAGAACCCCTGGGCGAGGCATGGTTCTGGGGCCCGGGGAGCCCACGATGAGCGTCTGACTTGCACATGAACTATGCCCAACAAGACGCCGTTAAGCGTCGTAAGGTCGTGGGAAGCAGGAATCTCAGGTGATGGCCAGAATCTGGTGACACTGGATGCCCTTGGCTCTGCGTCTGTTTCTCATGGGGACCGGAGAGGAGCCTTTAAGGATGCCGTCGCGGGATTGCAAGGAGCTGGCCTGGGAAGGGCACAGGATGTATCGTCTCTCCCCAGATTGCTCAGGACGCCGCTGCGTCCCGGCTCCGACGTGACAGATGTGATTTCCGCCCCGGCTGGCAGCCCGGCTCCCCACTGGCTGGCGGAGCTCTGTCTCCTCCCCTTCGTCTTCCACGGAGCCCCGAGTTCGGTCAATGTTTAATAAACTGATTAATGGATGATGTGGATGGCTCGAAAGAGGGCAAATTATCAACCAGACGAGACAAGAGATTAATAGGCATCGCTGGCTAGAGGATTTGTGGGAGCTCTGTTTAATGTTTTGTAAGTTTGATATTCTTTCCCAATGAAAAGCTTCTTAAAAGGCGCTATTATATTTTACTCAGGCAAAGAGATGACAAAATGATGTAGTTACGGTTGGGGAAATGGCCACTTTTAATGGTTCTCGTTGTTTTTCTATAGTTCTAAGTATGTCTTGAGATATTTCCCTGGATGGACATCCTAAGAAAAGCTAATTCAACTCGAAAGAACTGTTTTGATATGATTTACAAATATAGAATGTATTGGAAGTAGGCATAACTCACAGCCCCAACAGAAAGGTTGAAGCAGACGGCCTCAAAAGATGAATCTTCTTTCTCTAGATTACTGTGAGTCTGCACAAGATGAATTCACAAACATTACTGATTCAGTCGGTCCTGGCAGGCTCAGCTCCCATAAAGTTGAAATATTATTGCCAGTCCCACTTTATCCGGATGTGTACTAGAATGGTGTCTGTGATCCGGTGGACATAAACCAGCACTTCTGTATTGCCATGAAAGCGGACTTTATACACTGGAGCTGAATTATCTCCTCATGAGACCCAAGAATGCTGAATTCTCAGGGACAAAGGGCTTTATCAGCTGGCTTCTCCTCAAAGACGTTCCTGTGTGCACTTGGGGTATTGCAGACTGCAGCCGTCGTCTCCAAGAGCAGGAGGTCCAGGGCTGCACAAGCCAGCACCAGCAGCAGAAATGCCTCGCTCCTGTCCCGGGGCCGGGAGTCCAAGGTCCATGTTGGCAGGGCCAGGGCCACGCCGCCACGCAGAGACAGACAAGGACCGTCCCGGGCTCGCTCCCAGCTTCCTGGAGCGCTTGGCTGGTGGCAGCGTAACTGTAGTCATCTCGCCCTGTCTGCCCGTATGCGCTCCTGGGTGTCCACATTTCCCCCTTCTGTCAGGGCATGGTCGTGTTGGACGACAGCCACTGTAATGACCTCATCTTAATTCCACCGTCTGCAAAATAAAGTCACATTGGCGGGCCCCAAGGCTTTGCGCTTGGAATCTCTTCTTTGGAAGAGGACGAAATTCGACCTACTCCAAATCCATGTATGCATCTGCAGCTATCTGCAAACAAGTGTTACCTAGTTTTTCATTAATTCTAATGTTTTGAGAAAGTCCGCTAACCTGAAAGCAAAACAAAATACTCAAAATATTTCACACTTTCTTTCTTTGCTCTGTGTCACTCTTACTTTAGAGAAATGCTTTGCTAAGAATGATGGGTGTGTGTTAGTTACATGCCATAAAAATTGTCTAACAAGCGGATCATCTGAGATTTCAGACCTTGGAAAAGATCAGGCAATACTCAAAGAGGAATTTTTTTCCCATGTAACACAACTTTCTTTTTTCCTTTGGTTTTTTTTTTAGGACAGGGTTTCACTATGGAGTTCAGGCTGGGCTCAAACTCATAGCAATCGTCTTGCCTCGGCCTCTCAAGTGCTGGAATTGTGGGAATGCGGCACCACACTCAGCTAAAATAACAGTTCTAAATAGGAATGAATGGGGCCTCCAAGGCTGGGATCCTTGGGGCCTGTTCTTCAAGTAGCTCCTTCCCTAAGGACGGAATCTCTGGGGACTCCTAGGAGCTCCACCTCTTAGAACCGTACATCTCAGGGCCCCACCAGAAGCCCATCAGGAGAAGATCGAACCCACATCCCGGAGTGGTTTCCACACCCTGGTACAGCTGTTCCCACTGACCTAAGAGATCTGTTACCCAGCTTAGAGTGAAAGGGTGTAACAGTCAATCAGTTATAAGTAGGAACAAGGAGAGAGTCACAGTGGACCCACAGGTCTCCCCATGACAGCTAGCACCCCACTAGATTCTTTTGAAAGTCCCAAGTTACAGCCTGACCGTCCGTGCAGGCCACAGCCCCCCACGTCTCCGTTCCCTGCTCCCATGTGGTGACTTACTTTACGTGCTTCCTAGCCTTCAGGGGGATGTAGAATGAAGTTCTGCAAACCCTCGTAGGAGGGAGCCCTTTCCTCTGACCACCTCCTTCTCCTCCGTCTAGCATAGATTTCTATGCACTGGAACCTGCTAAACTTTACAGATTTATCGCCCCGGGCCTTGAGGAAGTGCAGACCTCAGAAGGGCTTCCTTTGCCGTTGGTCTGAGTTGAGTAACTTTCAAGAGATTCAGACTCGTCAGGGCTTCTTTCTTGCAATCTCTACTTTCTAAAATTACTGGGGCTTGGGGGAATTTGTTTTCTATTTGTGTTTTGTTTTAGGGTTTATTTGTTTGTTCGTTTTGAGATAGGGTCTCATTATGTAGCTCAGGCTGGTCTTGAACTCACTATGTAGCCCAGGCTGGCCTCCAGCTCATGGTGATCCCCCTGCCTCAGCCTCCCAAGTGCTGCGGTTACAAGCGTGCACCACCACACTTGGCCTTGTTTTTGTCCTTGTTTTACCATCGTTCTGGTCTTGTTGCCAGGAGGGAGGACAGCAGCTTGATCGTGAAAGTTCAGAAGGGTGTGCTGACCGCAGAGTTGAGCTCCTTTTTCTAAAAGCTGTGGATGGTACAACTTGTGACTCTTGGATGCTGAATCAGAGTGGAGCGGGGGGAACCGAATCTATATCTAGGGCAGGAAAAGGCTGTTGTAGGCGCCGAGCTACAGCGATCGAGAGAGTCTGTGGCCTGCACAGGGGAAGACACACAGATCACAGAACACAGTGCAGATCCGGGGCGGATGCACTTAGACACCTGTGCCCCACCATGCGTAACACAACTTCGACACCATTCAGCGAGTAAAAGGTGTCCTCTTGGACAGTGTTGTGGCTACAGTGAGCCATCAAAAGCAAAAGCGAGAAGAAAAAACTTATCAGCACCTCATGCCTTATATGCAGAGTAACTCAAAACAGATCATGGATGCACATACAAATCATAAAACTAAAAACTCTGGGGGAGAAAAAACAAAGGAGACAATTGGCTCCATCCATTAGAAAAGATAAATAAATCTCATTGAAATTTAAAACTTTTGTTCTGAAAATAACCCTGTTAAAATGAAATGATAACTTATATCCTGGAAGAAAATGTTTTTAAACTACACACTCTTCAAAGGACTAGTATGTATGATGTATAAAGAACACTCAGAGGTCAAGTAAAAAGATGAAAAAATTCAGTGAGAAAAGGGATCCAGAACAATGGGTGGACATTTCACTGAAGAGGATGAACAGGTGGAAACACACACACACACACACACACACACACACACACACACGGGAGCCAGATCACATTGAGAGTGTCACTTAGACCTTGCTGATAGTTTCTTATGAAACGAAACATGAAAATGTAGGACCCAGCACTCCTACCCTTGCTCTTTTTTTTTTTTTACTAAAGAAATGAAGACTTAAAAAAAAAATGTTTCCCTTTTACTCTAGTGCCTGTTAATGTTATAGAATATTGGATTCCAACATTTGCACTTAGATCCTATTCACACTCCCATGACCCATCCTATACCCCTCTTCCTCCCACTTCTTCCTTTCTCTTATCTAATGACAATCTCCCCTCTACTTCCTTATCCTCTTTTTTAGATTCTACATGGTAGAGAGAACATGAGATATTTGACTTGCTTACTGGCCAATTTTGGTCAACACGGCAGCCACCAGATCCATCCATTTTCCTGCAAATGACAAAAATCTCATTCTTCTTCATGGCTACATAATATTCCACTGCATTATTTTCTTTAGCCCTTCACCAGTTGATGGGCTCCTAGGCCAATTCCATATCTTGGCAACTGTAAATTGTGGTGCAGTAAACACAGTATGCAAGTGTCCCTGTCATATGCTGACTTTAAGAGAAACAAAACCTTTGTTCACCTGTGCCTACGTGTCACTGGTGACCCTGTGAATGTCACCCTCCCCGTACCTCCCACTGGTGGAGTGGCTAAGCATGCCGTGGTCCCATCATGCCTCACACCTGCTCAGCAGGGCAGGGAAGCACCGCGGACACACATGTCATCACCAGGCAGCGATGTGGAGCCCACAGAGCCAACCTCAAAAGGCCTTATCCCTACGCAGGTTGAGTGGCCCACATCGGAAAACCCGAACTCTGATGCTAAAGTAGAAAATTCCATGCCATGAACCTAGGCTGTATGTGTGAAATTATTTAGAACATTGCGTGCAGTCGTCCCTGCTCTGTGTACACAGCACATAAGAAACATACTTGAGTTCTGTGCTTGCACCTGGCATATTTCTTCACATCCATGGAAATATTCCTGAATCCTGGAAACCTGAAACCCAAGACACTTCTGGTTCCATGTCCTTCAGATGAGGGACACCCTGCCTATGTAGGGCTCTAACTGTGTGACATCCTTGAAGTGACACAATTATAGAAATTGAGGGTAGATTTCCGGTACCATTGAAGGAAACTGGGTAACAGATACATTGGATTTTCCTGTATTGTGTCTTATAACTGCATGGAAGTCAAAGTAAAAAAGATCAGGTTAAAAATAAATTTAGGGCCAGGCGTAGTAGTGCACGCCTGTAATCCCAGCACTTGGGAGGCTGAGGCAGGAGGATTGTTGAGAGTTCAAGACCAGCCCAGGCTACAAAGTGAGCTCAAGGCCAGCCTGAACTGCATAGTGAGACCCTGTCTCAAAATGACTAAGTTAATTAATTAATTAATTAATTAGTTAATTTAGGGTCTGGGGATGTAGCTCAGTGGTAGAGCACTTGCCAACCATACATGAGGCCCTGGGTTTGATCTCCAGCTTTGCACAAATGAATAATAGCAGTACCAATTTAAGACTGCTGTAGTATTCAAAATTAGCATGTCTTGAAGTGCTATTCACTTAACGACTGGTGAAAAGTGTTGATGACTTTTCTCACAGGCAAGAGAAGGACTCCAATCAGAAATGTGTGTCACAACAAGACCTGTTTCCAGACACCAGGAAAACTGCTTTATTCCTTCCTTGATGATCTTGCTCGGGGACATGTCCCGCAGGACGAAGGCCCCCAAGCTCTGGGAGAAGCTGGCCACCCTGAATTGCCCACGGGTCCGCGAATGAGACTCCAGCCTCCTCGCCGGGGGCCTCGTGACTTTCCAGACCAACACCCAGGTCAGCTGAGGGAAAACCCTGGCCACAGTAGAGCCTGTAAAGGTCTAGTCATTCTTGGAAGCTCAAGAATGCTGAGCTCCAGCCGTGTGTGGTGGTGCGCCTTGTAATCCTAGCGCTCGGGGGAGCTGAGGCAGGAGGATCACAAGACTGACCCCAGTGAGCCCAGCCTGGGCAACTTAGCAAGACCTTGTTTCAAAATGTAAAATAAAGGGGTACTGAGGATATAAATTCAGTGTGAAGGCTCTGAGTTCAGCCTCCAGCACTCCCGCACACACACACACACTCAAAAATGCTGGATTTCTTAGCGTCTCAGAACTACGTGCACATCAGTAACCAAATATCTCCTCGGAGCGGTCCTGCAGGAACTGTGGCGGGAGGAGGGGCAGGGGCGATGCCCGAGCCACAGAGACATGAACCGCGTGGTGACACTACAGCTCAGGGAGCGGAAAACTCACCGTGGGGGGCTCAGCCACGTTTCCCCCTGCTCCATACCTGGACACGACCTGGCGTGGGCACCGGTCAGCCAGTGACCGCCGGGACACTGCTCCCTGCACCGCTGTTCAAGCACAAACGTCCTGCTCTCCTGACCGAGGAACAACTGGGTTACACAGCACCACTGCTTTTTAAAGTGGGTGTAATTCTGCTTTGCTCTTGTGGCAAAACTCTCCTCCCTCCCCCTCTCTTTCTTCCTTTCTGTCTGTCTGTCTGTCTGTCTGTCTGCTTGTCTCTCTGAAACAGGGTCTCACTATGCAGCGCAGGCTGGCCTTGGGTCCCCTAGCAATGCTTGAAGGTGCTCTGCCCTCAACTCATTCGTCTTCCACCCTCTCTCCCCTTCCCTGGGTCCCAGACAGCTCGCCTTCCTCACACGTGCGAGTTTTCCCCTCGGAAACTCAGAGTGTCACTTCAGAGGTTTTGTTTTCTTGCTGTACCACTGTTTCACGTTTAAAACTTTTTGTGAGTGTGTGTTTGCAGTGGGTAGCAAGGGCGTGCCTTGTGGGGAGTTAGGCCGTGTGCATCGCACTGGTCCTTCCCACATCCCTTCCGCTCCCGGCGCCAGCTCTGTCTCCCCGCCCCAAAGCCCTCCCGTCTCACTCCACCTCCCTTGCCCACGGCTCTCCACCCGCACCCCTCCCCACCCCGCACCTCTCTCCACTCGCACCCCTGAGTGCTGCGCCGGCAATGTCCATGGACCCAGGCAGCTTTCAGCAGGACTCACGGTTCCCACAGCACAGGCAGGACCCAGTGGCCCAGCGGTGGCCCAGGGGTGGCCCAAGCACCCGGGGTTCCCTGTAGCCAGGTGGCTCTGGGGCTCTCTTGCCCTCCTGCCTGCCCATCCCACGCAGTGACCCTCACAGGTGTGGGGCCTCTCTCCCTGCTCCTGTCCCCGTGTGAGCCCTCCAGGTCCCTGCCACTGCCAGGAGGGAGCTTTGTGCCCAGCACCTAGCACCTAGCACCCCCCCATGACACAGCCCTGGTGAGCTCACGCCGACATCCCCCTGCTTCCGTTGCTCATGAAGAGAATATGTTTATATGTTTTCTGGTTGTGGTTTTCAAAAAATAAATCACTTATCTCATTCCCCTATTTTTTAATCTCTGTATTTATCTCTGGCTGATTTTCAAGATAACTTCTAAAATAGGAATATGTACACATTTTACGTCATCTAATTTTTGCTTTTGAATTGCTTTTTCGTGTTGCTGGTTAATACTAACAAGTGTGTGTGTGTGTGTGTGTGTGTGTGTGTATGTTGTCAGAAGCCAGGCATTGTTTGAAATTCTTTGCAGATATTATTTAGCTTAATCACCACAAAGCTCCTGTAGATTACAAGGTGAGTGTCTGTAGTTGCTCTGTCCTGGCTGCCTCGATGTCCTGAATGGATTCAAAACATTTCCTTTCATGGTCATTCTGACTTTGGGAAGAGTCAGAAGTCACACGGTGCCAGATCCAGAGAAAGAGACGGACCAGGACACAGCGTCATCTTTCTATGACCCGCCTCTCTGTTGGATGGCTCTCGGCAGCAGCATTCACGGTATTTTTCATCGCACCGTGGAAAGACACTCAGGAAAGAGACTCCAGAGCAGCTGCAGAAAGCGGCAAGGACAGTGGGATGAGTGTGTTTGAAGCCAGGGAGAGGATTCTGAGGGGGATTCGTGCCAGTGCCTCTTTCACTGGAATCCATTTTTTGTAATTTGCACATTCACCATATATTTCGATTCCTCCTTGTGGACTTAGTCATGAGTTCCCCTGTAGTTTGAGGAAAGGGAGGCACAGAGAGGGAGACTGACTTGTCCTAGCTCACACAGCCAGTACTGAACCCAGGCCCTGTGGCTCTGGCCTCTGGGTCGTAACCGCCAGGCTCTCCTGCCTCTCCCTCTGGGGCACTGCTTCCTCGAGCCTTACCCATTGATTTTTTTTTCTTCTTTGCTTCTGTCAGACTGGTCTGGGACTGGCTTCAGCGTGAGACCTCTGTGTGCACCTACAAACCCTCTTCCCCTCAGCCTGAGCCCCAAGATGACCAGTTTTAGCAACAACCAATTTGCAAGTGAAAAGAACTAAGACCCAAGGAATTGTGGATCCCGGTCCCGGGACCAGTCGATGGCTAGGAGGATGTAAACACAGGTCCGCTGGTCACTGCGGGATGTTGCCCGAGGTCGCTGCTCAGAGCCAGAGTGGGACAGGGCTCTGTCTCGCGTTTCCCGAGCGCCTCACTGCCCGTGACCCGGGGGCAGCCCGGTCTCCCTCCTGAGTGGGTCTGTTTTTCTGCATCCGCCTGTGTGGGAACCGCCTGAAATCTTATTCTGCAGGCTGCCTTCTCTCCGGGATGCATCTATTTCTGCAAATTACCAAGCAGATCTCTTCGAGGGGATGGAAGACAGCGAGCCGGAATTCTGCAATTTCACTGCGGCTTCAGAAATACAGTCCTTGTTTGTAAAATGAACAGTGGAATTTGGTTAGGTGAACAGCTCTCATTTTTCCTGACTTTACTAATTCAATGTAACGCAATTAGTGGAGCCGAACTTTGAAGTCACCCAGGCCGCTGTGTTTATATTCATTTAAAAACCTACGTGGGCTGCCAGCATTTGCTAAGCAGATTATTCAATTTGATCATATTTTTTTGGATGTTAAGTGGCCCAGAAAGGCCTGGCCTCGCACGCAAGCAAGCCAGGGAAGCCAGGTGGCGGGAGAGGAGACCGGAGCTTGTCCCCTGGCCACCACCCCACCATGAGACACAGCAGGGCACACAGATTTCTCAGAATCAAGGCTCCAGCTGAAGACTTCCAAACACTCTGAAATAACTCAGGATTTAAACTGTAAACCACAGTACAAAGTACCTTATATGATGACTTCTCAGGTTGTACATAGAAGAAAATTTATGCTCTAAAAACATTGATTAGAAACCAGGAAAATGTCAAAATAAATAATCATAATGTTCATGCAGAGAGCCCAGAAAAAGAAAAAGAAATTGAACATAAAGGATAAAGAAATATAAAAA